TATAGTGCAAGAAATTAAGAATATTATTCTTGATGCAATCATGGGATGCCGTCATTAATTTCTCTGACTCTGCTTTAGATGAAGCTATCTCTAAAGAAAAAACTATTGTTGAATTCTTTGCGACTATGCATAGTGCTTTGAACGCACCATTAAAAGGATCACCTCTTGATGCTAAGGATAGAGACTTTTTAGCTACTCTTGAAACAAGAAGAAAAGGAATTCATTCTGCATTATGTAATAACTTTGATACTGCCACAGCTATGAATCATCTCTTTGCTTTAATTCGTAAATGTAATGAATATTTATCATCAACTTCTAGTACATTATTATTAAGATCAGCTTTATATTATATTCAAAAAATGTTAAAAGTATTTGGTATTGAAGAGAAGCAAGTATCATCATCATCTGATAATGCACCCTTATTAGACACATGGTGCTCATTTAGAACAGAAGTTAGAAAAGAAGCAATTAAATCTAAAAATACAAATATATTGAACTTATGTGATAAAGTTAGAGACGAGGATTTACCAAAAATTGGTGTACGTGTTGAAGATGATGGTAAAACTGCTTGGAAATTAGGAAATCCTGAAGAAATTATTGCTGCTATTGAAGAAAAGAAAAGGGTTGCTCGTGAACAAGCACTTAAAAAGAAACAAAGTAAAAGAGCTGATTTAGTTAAAAAGATTACTAATTATAAGAATTGGGCTGCAAACCCAAATGATTTATTTAAGGAATATCCAAAACCAGAAAATGGAATTATTCCAACTATTGGACTTGATGGTAAACCAATTGGAAAGAAACAAGGACAAAAATTAGAGAAATTATATAAAACTGCTATTAAAAATAATGAACTGTATAAGGCTGAATTAGCTAAAGACTCAGAATTTTTAACTAAATTAGAAGAACAAGTCCATCAACTTGATAAAGAAATTGAAGAAATGAAGAATTAAGTGAATTCTTTTAAAATACTAATTTTTTTTAATCAATAAAGACAATTTGAATTAATCTTATAATAAGGGAATTTTGGAAATATAATAGAATTGTTGCATGTCTCTAAATATCTAAAAGAGGAATCACAATCAAAAATTTTTGGATGAGAACGTCTATTAAATGATGGAATATCACTACATAATCTAAACTCATCAAAAAAATTCCCAAAACAAAATAATAACGGATTTGCACCATAAATCTCTTTAAATAAAGAGCGTATATATTCTTTTGAGTACTGAGTTATTGAATCATCTTTAATACCTTTTTCCTTCATTATTTTCCATGCATTTGTTTTATTTGCAATGCTTAACGCAATATCAGCAAAATATTGAGGACCATCTTCTCCATGAGATATTGATGGAATACATGTACCATGTTTCAAATACTCATAATTAAAAAATGAGCACTGTTTTAATCCAGGCCAATAAAAACGTAGATTCATTAATAACCATTCATGGGTTTGAACGTATTGAGTAATTTCTTCATTTTTCCAATAAGTAAAGCAACATTCAGGATAAGTACTTTCTGTTTTTTGTGGCCAAAATCCATGAATAGTAAAACCTTCATTAATCGGAGTGATAGAATGACAAGACTGATCCATACAAAATGTACCTGGCCAAGATTGAACAAAATAAGCAAAAGTAGATTTTTGTGGGAGTGATGTATTAAAACAAATTGAAGAAGAGATAGAGTGATAACAAAGAATAGGAGTAATGAAAAATAAAAATAAAAATAACATTTTGAATAAATTAAGAGTTCTATTATCAGTTTTGTGACAATCAAAAAGTTGAATTTTCACAGAATAATTTAAACGAAATTTTAATAATTTTCTTTTTTTTTTAAAAAAGAAAAAATAAAGAACCTTCAATTAACTAATTCAATGTTCAATATAGATTCATTAGCTGCTCTTCCTTTTGATATGTTTCATCCTTTATGTCAGAAGATAGATAAAACAATCTTAAAATTTATTAGAACAGCATATGAAAAACAAAAAACAGAAGAACCACCAAAAACTTTGTTCATTCAACCAGATACAAATATTTGTTATCTTAGTCTTGTTTCTCCTCACCATGAATCTACACCTGAAGCTTATTATTCAACGTACGTTAAAGGATATTCAAATGTTAGTTTTAGTACTTATCCAGTATTAAATGGTGAAAAATTTGGTAAACCAATTGCTGATTGTACTTCGGCAAATATTTATAAAGATTTTGCTGTATTTTGTATTGCTGATGGGTGTGGAATGGGAAAAAGGCCAGCGGTTTCTGCACATGTTGCCTGTGAAAAATTTACTGAATACGTTTCTGTAGAAATTCCCAAAACAAAAACACTTGCCAAAGCACAAAAAATAATTGTAGAGGCAATTGCCTATGTTCAAACTGCAATTTTACAAACTCAAGAATTATCTACAGACGCTGGACTAACTACATTTCTTGGGGTGGTAGTTTTAAGAACTGGGACAAGTTTTGCATGTATGTATTGCAACATTGGTGATTGTCGGGCACTAGTTATTGACCCAAGAAGGGCAATAGTAAATGAATTAATTGATGATTATTCAGGAAGGGTTGATGTTAAAACAACTGGAGGAAGACTTGGACCAGTAGAAGGAGATTATCCTGAATTAGATAATTTTAAATGTGGAATTAAATTTTGTAGTGCAGGAAGTGTTATAGCATTAATGACAGATGGGGTGTGTGATAATTTTGATATTAAAACATATTATCAAACTCCTAAAGAATGTGATTTAAGTGGACAAGAATGGAGCGACGATAACTTAGAGCATTGGGAAAAAAGGAAAGAAGTATTTTATTCTTCATTTTTGAGTTTATTTCTTAATGATTCATTAGAAGAACTTTGTTTTAATTTGTATAACTTTATTATACAAAAAACAAAACAAGCAAGAGAGTGTAAAGTAAAAAGAATCGAAACATTTGTTGGAGGTAAAATGGACCATTCCACATTTGCATGTTTTAGGCTCGATGACACCCTCTTTAATGAAAAAATAGTTATGAAGAAAAAGATGAAAATACCAGATGATTTACATGCATGAATAAACAAATACAATGTAATTGAATTTGAATACTATTAATTTGTTATATTTTTTCTATTCCAAAATAAAGATAAAACTAAAATAAATTTTAAATTCCATTTATAGAAACATTAATAAATTTGAAGTACTTAATGGTTTATAATACTCTGTTTTTAGTCTTTTTTAATTTCCTGAACTTTACTATATAAAGAGAACTAAATATTATTTAGTTTCAAATGAAATCATTGCTTAAGAAGAATATTAAACAAGATTATACTATTGAATTTAAACAGATATCTGGTGTCGGGGTACCTGAAGGTACTGAAGTTGTCCTAAAATGGAGAAGAGGTGAAAAGAAAGAAAATAAAGGTTCTATTGAAAAGGCTCAGGTCCATGGTAGTAATGTTCTTTACTCTCCAGTACAAACTGTAAATATCCACTGCACTTTATTCCTTACTAAAAATGGTTATGAAGAAAAAGGACTTGAAGTTTCTCTTCACTCTATTGGTAAAAAAGGGAAAGAACTTTGTAAAGGATACGTTGACTTAGCACATTATGCAGATTTAAATGGTGTTGGTAAAGATATTTCCCTTCCTCTAAAAGGAAAAGTTCCAGCCACAGTTGATATGAAAATTACTTCTCTCATTGGTGAGGCTGGTGGAAGTTCTGATGAAACAGAAGTTCTTCACATGAACCAATCATCTAATATTACTTCTACTACAGACATCCATGAATTACTTGTACAACAAGTTGATAAAAAGAACCATGAGATTAAAAAAGAAGAAAAAGTTGTAAAAGAAGAGAATGAAGCAGAAGATTCAAAGAAGGATAATGTTGATGAAGAAAAAGAAGAAGAAGAACTTGTTGAAAAGCAAAGAAAACAAAAAGAAATTCAAGAACAAGAAGAGGCTGCAAGACAAAAACAATTAGAAGAACAACAAAAAGAATCAGCTGCTTTAAGTGATAAGTCTAAAGAAAAATCAGATAAGGCAAAAGAAAAGAACTTATTTGCAGCAGCAATGTCTGATGTTAAAATTAAAGGTAAAAAAGATAAGGATAAGAAAAAATTTAAACAAGAAGATATTGATAAAGCTGTTGAGCAAGCCCTTGCAGAAAAAAAACAAAAACATCATAAAAAAGTTGCTGATTTAAAAGCTCAAATAGAAACTCTCAAAGCTGAAAAAGATAAAGAAATAGTTTGTTTAATTTTGAATATACTCCTCTAATAACTAATCTCTTTCATTAATCACTTCTCTTGCCATAACAATATAATAAATTCTATTATCTACACACACTAATTTCTTTCTAATAACAATTAATTTGAATTGTAAGTACTAATCATTTTTAGGAAGATGCAGTTAAAGAAAAAGAAACTCAAATAGAAGAGTTGAATAAAAAGATTGAAGAAGAGACAAAAGAAAAAGAAGCTGTTAAAGCTTCTTTAGCAATTTCAGTTGCTGCTGAAGCTACACTCAAAGCAGAAGTTGAAAAGAAAGATCAAGAATTAAAGAGTAAGGGTGAAGAATTAGAAAAAGAAAAGGAGGAACAAGCAAAGAAAATTGAAGAAATTGAAAAAGAGAAAGAAGAACAAGTAAAGAAAGTTGAAGAGTTAGAAGGAGAAAGGAATAATGAAAAACAAAAAGCAGAACAATTAGAAAAGAAGGTTAATGATTCTGAGAAAGAGAACAATGAATTAAAAGTTCAACTTGAAGATTTACAAAAGAAATTAGAAGAAACTGAAAAGAATGCTGCTGCAGGTTCTGAAGAGTTATTGAAACAAAAGAATGAAGAGATAGATAATATTAAGAAAGAAAAAGTTTGTTTTTATATATATTATATATGAGGTGAGTGTGTGTTAATGAGTTATGAGTGTGTTGTTGAGTTATTGAGGATTTTCTATATTATTGTTTGAGTTGTGAGAGAGAGGACAGTTATGAATTAATGCTATTTGGTTGTTTGATGGTAATAACAAAATTCTATTATCATCTGTGTTGTGGTAAATTTTTATATATTGACATTAAGCTATTCTTTGTTAGGATGTTAATCTAAATGAAAGAATAGTGTTATCGTTAATCAAATATTCTTATGAGTAAGTTAGTCCTTTAGAGGAGTAAACATTTAATAATTTATTTGTAGGAAGCTTTGTTGAAAGAAAATGAACAATTGAAACAACAAATTTCTAGTGCTGAAGAGAATTCAAGTAGTCTTATAGAAAATGAAAAGAAGGAGAAAGAAGATTTGAAACATCAAAACGAAGAATTAAAACAACAAATTGAAGAACTTAAAGAAGAGAACAATAAAAAAGAACGAGAGTTAGCAGAAAAAGAAGTTGTTATTGTTTCACTTCAAAAATCATCTGAAGAAGCTAATAAAAAAGCCAAATCATCATCTTCTTCATCAGATGAAGAAGAGAATGAGACAAAAGAGAATGGAAAGTTAATTAAAAAATTAATGATCAGATATTCTAAATATAATAATAAATATGATAATAATATTCCTTTCTTGGCAGATGAAATTAAAGTATTATTAAAGGGTAATAATGAAATTATTGAGCTTGACCATTTAAAGAGTGTTGGAGACAACACTTTTGATAATACATTGTATATGTTATTAACATTTGCAAATCTTTCAAATAATTATGTTGTTAAAAAAGTTGAACGTGATGGTAGTCTTAATACTCAACTTCTTGATCTTGAATATTTCTTCTTTATTAAAGCTATTGTTGCTTCTACTATGAAACTTAATGGTTTCCTTGAAAGTATGATGAAAGATAATCAATGCTTTGAAAGAAGAAAAGCAGCTGAATTTGAACAAGTAACTGCTGGTTATGTTCCAAAGTATTTAAGTGATATTTTGAATAAACTCGAATCTATGGGCATTAAAGAAGAATTAGTACAACAATTAATGAAACAAATTGTTAACTATATTGCAATTCATGTCATTGAACTTCTTGTAGAAAATGATAAATTAGTTAATTGTGCTAAAGGACTTCAATTAAAATTCTTCTTCAGTATTATGGAAGCTGAAATGTCTGATATTAAAAAATTAAGTCCTTATAGAAAGTACATTCAACCTGCAATTGAAGTAAGCGGATTATTGGTATTGGATCACTCAGCAGATAAATTTGACTATCAAGGATTAAAACAAACCCTTCCACATTTGACTGGAAGTACTATTTATGCTATTCTATCACGATTTAAATCTGATAGTTTGAACCATCAATCTATTGACCAATCTGTTTTAAGCAAAATAGAAAAAGACGATGCACCTTTCCCATCTGCTCTTGATTTAATTGAATAAACGAAGTTTTCTTAATTATTTTTTTCAGTTATACCATTTTTATTCATACTGTCTTATTGTCAAATAAAAACCCTATTATTTTATTAGTCAAAATTAAGTTCATTGGTTTTGTAGATGATTGTTATTTGTGCTGAATTACGTAAAGTTATTGCACAGTTTGTGCACAACACAATTCCTTTTATTGCTTCTCTTCAAAAAAAAAGAAACTGGATTACTGACAGTTTCTTTTTATTCATTACTCTTGTTGCAGGAACTGGTATATATGCTGCTGTTCTCCCGACAATTGTATTATTTTATCCACATCCAGATTATGTAAGGACAGTCATTACTATTACTTTCACTTGTTGTTTTAATATTCTTGTTGGTAATTTCATTAAAAATTTATTTGGATTACCTAGACCTTATGGAGAGGGTTTGTGGGCTCCAGTCCCTGAAAAAGATTTTGGATTTCCTAGTACACATACTATTAATGCAATTGCCAATACAGGATTTGTTGTATTTGCTTTAACTGATAGCATTCAATACCGTATAATTTTTATAATATATGTTGTTTGTGTTTCTTTTAGTAGAATGTACATGGGAGTTCATAGTCCTGCTGATGTTTGTTGTGGGATGTTATTTGGATTTCTTCATCTTGTACTTATGGTGAATTTTTATCAAACTATTATGTACATTCATTCATTACCGTTAATGCTTCCTATATTCTTTATAATTCATGTTATTATTCTTGTTTTAATGCCAAGATGTAAAGAATACAATCCAACTCCAAGAAGAACAGCAATGATATGTGGATGTGTATTTGCAGCCTCAGTTGTTATGTCATTTGATATGCAAACACTCACAACACATATTCTTCCAATGAAAGAATATATTATTTATCAAATACATAGACTTCCAAAGTTTATATTAGAATATATTGTTGCTATATCAATATGTTTAAGTCTATTTGGAACTATTGGATTTATTTTACCAAATATTATTATGAAGTTAGTTGAAAAAAGTGCAAAAGTTAATAATCTTCTTCGTAGAATAGAGCAATTTTGTTGTAAATATCGAATTCATTGTTTAAAAGATAATATTAATGAATATGAATGTGATAAAGTAATGTTAAAATATACAGCAGAAATTCCACTCGCATATTTTTCAGGTTTTGTTGGTGGATTTTGTGTAGTTTATATTGCACCAAAAGTTGTTCTTGCAATGAATCCTGAAATGATACTTCCAAACTAACAAATTATTTTTTTTTTATTTAAAATTAATTCAATTTAAATCAATAATTATAAATCTAATTATATTGTTTCGTCATTATCAAGTAAGTTAGCATCTTCAACCTCATCATAGTTTTCTGTTAAAAATCTTTCAGTTTCTTTTTTAAACATTGAACGTTCGCTTTCACCTAATTCTTCTCCATGTATTTGAGCAATTTTTGAATACAACATATCTTTGCCAAGTTCTGCATAAGTACGAACACCTAAAGAATATTTTATTGTTTTTGAACCATTATCATTTTGAATAATAATTCTTCTTAAATATCCTTGTTTTGTTAATACTTTATCAATAAAAAATTCTAATGATGGTTGTTCTGGAACTGAACATATATCTAATGTTCTTAAATGTTGAACTAAAACTTCTTGAAATATTGCTTCTCCATTGAGCATTGTTAATGAAAGTATTATAAATGTGATTGACTGTTGAATAATCATAGAATTAGTCATTCCTTCTACTGTATATGTTTTTGGTTCTTCAATATCTTGAATTCCATCAAGAAGAATATAAACAGATTTTCCTGAATTACCACTTTTAATTTCTTTTAGTTCAAATCCAAATTGTTTTTTTAATCTATTAGAGGCTTCTTCCATACAACTTTTAAATGTATTTCTTGGACTTATTTTATATTTTGCAAACACAGTTTTTGAAATATCGTCACGTGTTAATAACTTCTTTGATACTTGATAAGCTAATACCTTTCTCATAATATCATTTACTAATAAATTAGTTTCTTCAGGTGTAAGATCACCTTTTTTTGATTGAGTTGCAATCTTTTGGCTTCTTTGTGTTCTTTCTAATTTCTCAGATGGTCTTTTTGGTGAGATTTCTTCTATATCTGAATCACTATCATCAAGTAAAAGATCTGAATCTTCAAATTGACGATTACTTTTCTTTCTTTGTTGATGACTCATAAAAATAAATATTTTTTTAGTATTTCTTTTTTATGTTTTTCTATTTTTTTCTTTTATGTTTAAGAATTATGTAAACCCTTATTATTTATTATAGTTTTATTATAATATTATTTACTATACATATATTATATTTAAGAATTAGGTTATCCTATTTTATTCACTTCGCTCTGCAGAAATAACTACTTAGTAGTTAGTTATTTCTTTATTTTATTATTGCGAAGAAGATATATTGACTTTGGTGACACATGGTTCTTTAACTGATGTTGTCAATCAAGTCAGCAAATTAAGAATAATTTGAATTATTTTGTTTTCTTTTAAGAAAGAGGTAATAATCAAGCAATGCCTGTTGAGATAAAATTGGTTTGCTTTGAGGTTCTTCTTCCTTTTTTTCAAATAGAAATGTTGTTACAACTTCATTTACTTCCTCTTCTAATTCTAATTTGATAAGTATAAATATTTTTTTGTGAAATTTAAGTAATACAAACTTTCGTTCCATGGGTATACATTAGTATCGTCACAACAATACCATCCACTTTGTGTTTTAACATAGCTCTTACAATGGCCATTGTCATATCCATTTATATGAGTTATCATTGATTTAAGAGAATAATTTGATTTGTTGTATATAATTTCTTTGTTCTGAGAAATACTTTTTGTTTGTTTCTCTATTTGGTTATTTATTATTTTGATGTTTTCAACACAAATAATGAGATATTGAGGAGAGTTCAATGGCTTTAATTCAACATTTAATGTTCTTCCACAAGAACAATGGAACTCTCTAAATAGTGATAAACAAAGTTGTGTTGGTAAATCAAGTTGAATACCATTATTTCTAATTAGTAGGACAGGTTCTTTTGAAATAACTGTATCAGTTTTTCCACAATCACAATTGATATCACATCGTATAGACATTTCATAATAACCGCACTGGTTACAATGTTCTAATATTTGGGTTAGAAACTCGTTTGGGTCTCCATACTGTGGATTATAACAATCAAGGAAATAGAATGTATTAATACTCTGAAGAGTAGTACTTATTAAGTCAACAAAAAGCAAGCGGATTCTTTGTAATATTTCATTACTTGGAGAATTAAAAGATAAGTAAGAAACAAAAGACTTCATTGAAAATAAAAGCTGAATACAGCTATTGACATAACATCCATTATAAGAGTTATTAACAAGACCAATTGGTGGAATTCTTTCAGATAATTCCATTATGAAATGATGTTAATAACATCTAGATTGTTTCATATTTTTTCAATTATTTAGGGTTTGAAAAAAGAGTTCAAATCAAAGAGTTTGTCATGTCAAAAAGAACAGCTCGTGAAGCATTCCCTGAAGAATACGAAGAAGAAGGAAATGACGAAAAACAAGAGTCTACAATAAAAGAAGAAACAAACCAAAATAAGTCAAAAAGTAAAGAAGAAAACGAAGAAAAAAGTAAAGGAACTACATCAACGTTTTTAACTGATATTGAATATAAGTCATTAAACCTTTCAGAAGAAATTCAAAAAGCACTTGAAGAAGCAGGATATACTAAAATGACTACAATCCAAGCAAGATCAATTCCATTATTATTAATGGGAAAGGATATTATGGCCAAAGCTAGAACTGGTTCAGGTAAAACTTTAGCATTTTTAATTCCTATAGTTGAAATTTTAAATAAAATTCATTTTCAAACAAGAAATGGAACAGGTGCCATAATTATTTCACCAACTAGAGAACTTGCTATTCAAACATTTGAAGTACTAGAAAAAATATTAGCTCATTCAGAAAGAACAAGAACATTAATTATTGGTGGAAGTAGTAAAAAAAAAGAAGAAGAGGCTCTAAAAAAAGGTGCTTCAATTGTTGTTGCAACACCAGGTAGATTATTAGATCATATTATTAATACTAAATGTTTTATTTACAGAAATTTAAAGTGTTTAGTAATTGATGAAGCTGATAGAATTATGGAAGTTGGATTTGAAGAAGAAATGAGACAAATATTAAATAGATTACCAAAGAATAGACAAACAATGTTATTTAGTGCTACACAGTCAGAAAAAGTTGATGATATTGCTAATATTTCATTAAAACAACCTGTTGTTATTAATGTTGAAAGTCAATCAACAATATCAACGTCAAGTAAATTAGAACAAGGGTATGTTCTTGTTGAAGCAAAAGATAGGTTTAGATTATTGTATACGTTTTTAAGAAAGAATAAAAATAAGAAAACAATTGTTTTTATGTCGTCATGTAAAGCTGTTAAATTTTATAGTGATTTATTAAATTATATTGACATACCAGTTAAAGCACTTCACGGACAATTAGATCAAGACAAAAGAACAAAAGTATTTTTTGAATTTTGTAAAGCAAAAGAAGCTATTTTAATTACCACTGATATTGCTGCTCGTGGACTTGATATTCCTGCTGTTGATTGGATTATTCAAGTTGATCTTCCTGATTCACCAAAAGATTATATTCATAGAGTAGGTAGAACTGCACGTGCAGATACTAAAGGACGTGCACTTTTATTTGTTCAACCTTGTGAAGTACGTATTTTAGAATATTTAAAAGGAGAAAAGATCCCATTAACACAATATGAAGTTCCTGAAAAAAAAATTGCTAATATTCAAAGGGAATTAGAAAAGTTAGTTGAAAAAAATTATTATTTAAACACTGAAGCAAAAGATGGGTATAAGGCTTATATTATGGCATACAATAGTCGTTCATTAAAAGATGTATTCAATGTAAATGATATTGATATTGGAGGGATTGCACTTTCATTTGGACTAACGAATCCCCCAAAAGTTCAATTAAATATACTTAAAGCACCAAAGAGTAGTAATAGATTTGAAAAGAAACGACAACTTAAATGATTGATTTTAGATTGAAAGTTTAGTTATAATAATATTTCATTCAATTTTCTTTTTTCTATCAATTCTTTTTAAATAGAAAAATAAAGAAAAACTAAGAAAGTTATCTTACAAAATTTTATGGAGAATAGTGTCATTAGATATTTTATATTATTTACCATTAGTTTAACTATTTGTTATATATTATTTACCCCTTCTATTCTTAATTCTGTTACTGGTTTAGATGAGTTTGTATTATTAATATTTTAATTATTAAAAATATTGTTTCTAATGATTAGAAATGTATTTGTTCAATTATATCATCCTAATCTTCAAACAATGCAATCTTTGGTAGATTCTGATATTTCTTTTATTAAACTAATATTCGTATCATTGTCAGTTCATATACGATTACCTCAAGATATTGAATCTTCATTAGTTGATATGTTATTTGCTTATAAATATGGTAAAGTATATGCTTTTGGTATTTCAGTAATCATACATACTTTATCAGAAATTATTTTATTTTCTGTAATGTATTCTTTGTCAAAAATTTTATCTTCTTTTATTCCTAAACTTCAACAAATCCATGCTTTCTCTTCTAGGTTTTGGCCTTATTTTAGTAATGTAACACTATTCTCAATTTTTGTACCAATTCTTCCTATCCGAATTTGTTGTGCATTATTTGGTTTAATTGGATTACCAATATTTGCATATGCCTTGGCTCAACTTCTCTCAGTATTACCACAAACTTATTTAAATATGAATTTAGGTGAAAGAATGACTGAAGTTGAATCAATTCGTTTTGAAAGTGATATCGTATTTCTTGTCTTATTACTATTTGCTTTAGGGTCTTCATTAACAATTACCATAACTTTTACAATCAAGAATTTCTTTGAAGATAAATTAGATAAGAATGAATAAATTGAACGTTTTAGTTTTTGGAGTCATTGTTTCTCTCTTAAAATAAAAAATAGAATAGAATATTAAATAAATAAATTTAATAAACATTACTCAGAGTTTCAATAATATCATTTATGGCAGGTCTTCTAAATGGATCTTCATCCCATCCTTCTTCACATAACTGTTTTAATTTTTCATTTTTGATCAAATCTACATCAGGTCTTGTTCCATTTAAAATTTCTCCTATTAATGAAGCCATAAAAGAAAATGATTCAAAAGGATGTTTGAATGTTACTATTTCCCAAATAACAATAGAAAAAGAATAAATATCTGAGTATCTTGTTGGTGGTTCGTTTTGAATAATTTCAGGTGCACACCATATAGGATTATCTACTTGAGAAACATAATGAGAATTATATTCTGAACATAATCCAAAATCACATAATACACATCTTATTGGGTTTTTTTTGATTAGTACATTAGGTGATTTAATATCTCGGTGAATAAATCCATTTTTATGTAAAATTTTTATTCCATGAGCAAGATCAAGAATTAGAGACAATTGAATCTCTTCAGAAAATGGAGTTGGTTGTTCATCAATATATTTATAGAGATTTCCTCCTTCACAAAATTCATAGTAAAGTGTCATATCTTCAATTGAGAATGAAATTAATTCTAGTAACCATTGACATTTACACCTTTCAGAAACTTTAAGTTCATTTACAAATTGAGTATAATTTAACATAAAAGATTCTTTGGAATCTCCTTTAAATAATACTTTAGCAATAATTTCTTGTTGAGTATCATTTCTTATTGTTTTATATATTTCAGAATAACCACCTTCATTAATTTTTAATTGGTTTCCAACTTGAATTGGTTTCATTTCTTTCATATATATCTCATATACAAAATCAGGGAAACATTCGATCATTGTTATAATATGCTTACATTTAAAATTAATTTCTTCGTGTCTTACTGAATCTAGACTGAACTGCATTGGTGTAAATATTCCTTTATGGAGGCATTTTGGGCAGAAACAAAATCTTTTCTGAGGGGGGACTGTATTTTGCAAAAGATGATATAATCTATTTATGCATTTGATAACTGACATATAAACGATATAACTTGTTACCATAGTTCTTAGATGAAATGAAATCGTTTTCTCTGTTTTTTCTACAAGACAATATCCCTTTTGATTCCATTCACTAATTTCAAGAATCACGAAATCCTCTGATTTTGCAATAATTTTAGCTCCATTTAATAATAAATTAGCTACAACAACTCCACCACTTTTTTTTGGTAATAGAGTCTCAAATTTTCTAGCAATTTCAAGTTCATTATCGTAATGTTTTTTACTCCAATGAAGTTCTATCAAATCAGGTGTTTTAATAAATCTAAAGCAAAAGAAGTATTTTGGAAGTTCAATTTTTGATAATTCAAAATGGGTCTGTTCTTTTATTAATTGTAAGAAACTATTTTGGTTAAGAATTGTGTTGTTGTCATTGTTTTGTTTAAAGATACATGATAAATGTCTTTTTTCTTGAAATATTTTAGCTTCAGTTGATTCAAATCTAACTTCATCTTCATCTTCATTGTATATTGTTTGTATTGATTTTATATACTTTTCAACCAATTCTTCACTTCTATCCTTTTTAATTGTTTCATCATCTAGAATAAAAATATCATTTATGACTGTAAAATGATAAAAAATCAAAAATATCAGTTGTTCATACTCTTTACCATAATCTTGAAAAACTGAAGAAACATCAACAAAAATTCCTCTGAAACATGAACTTCTAGCCCTGTCATAAATGTCACGATAAATCCATGGTTTGACTAATATTTTATTGAGGAATTCTAACTTCGGATAGTTCAAACTTCTGAATTGGGATTTCCTGAATGAGTATAAAATTCCATATTCATGTAATAATTTTAAGACTTTTGTTTTAAATAGTTCTGGTTTATTATTTATACTTAATAAAGAAAAGAGTTGTTGTTCAGTGATATAAAAAATATCACTAACAAACGTTAAAGAAGTCATAACACTATTCTTCAATTCTACAGAAACTCTTTTCCATTCCATTTCTCTTTTAATTTTGCTTTTAGCAATAAATCCACATATTTTTTCTACATCAGATTTAGTGATTTCTCGAAGTATAGGAATTTTACAAATGGTACATTCAAATTTTTGTTTAATTAAAGAAGGAGAAGATAATGAAACATTCTGATCATATTTATTTTCTGTCAATTTAATTTGAAATGTACTTTGAGAATTAACTTTAGTTTGTTTTAATTCAAAACCTTCAATTTCATTTTCAATAAAATCTTTTATTTCAGAATACTTCTTCTTTTCAGAGTCACTGATAATAATAACTAATAATGGTTGTTCAATTTCTGCTTGTCTAAATAATTCTAATTGTGTTCTGATTTTATCTTCTAAATTAGAATCTGATAAAGGACAGAGTAGAATATGTTGTTGTTTTTTTGCAAATAAAGAAGGAATTATACTTGAAACAGGAGCCAATTGGAAAGGAATAACCATACCGTTTTTCAATACAATAGTATTTTGAATTCTTTGAATTTGAGACAGTGGCTCTACTACTTTCCAAAATAGATCATAAAGCTTCTTATGAGAATGGAATGTAATTCTGAATAAATCCATAGCAGGTGGTACTTGTTGGCCACTTTCTTCTGACATGTTGAAATAGAATGCAAGTTTTGATTCTATTTTTTTGGTTTGGATAAACAAATCTATTTATATTAAACTAAAAATAAATAACCATATTCTTCTAGAAGAATTTATGAATTAACATAAGTTGATCTTTGAGCAAAGTGTAATATCAACTGTTTCATTGTTTTGAACAGCATTTAATACTTTAACATAAATCTCTTGTGCAATTACAAAACAGTAATGGTGTGGTAATTCTCTTGAAAAGATAGTACAAAAGTCAAGAATCTTCTTATTCAAATTCTCCACTGTCTCTCCTTTAGTTACGTAATCAAGAGCTATTCCAACAAATGATTCACAAATTTTACAAGTAGCAATACTTCCTATTCCTCCAAGTGGCTTAAAACTTTTTTGAGAAATAAATTCTTCACAAATTGGTTTTGGAATATTATCAGGACATTCAACAGCAAATTCTTTTGATTTGGTTTCCATCGTAGAAACTATGTTAACTTGTTTAGAAGTAACAAAAGAAATAAAAAGAATAATAATGAATGTATTCATAAATCTGTTGAATCGAATGAATTTTTAGTTAAGATTTTTTTATTTTTTAAGTTTTTATTTTTAAAATATCATTTTTTATTTAAAATCCCCTTGTAATAATAATAAAATCTTAAAATTTTAATACTTTCATGCAACAACTAGAAGTTATAAATGAATTTCTTGATACAAAATCAATTGTCATATTAGAAAACAATGAACAAACACCTACTAGTTTGTTATATTCTTATACCTTAAATAAGAAAATTATTAAATATTTAGTTTATTTTGTATCCAAACAACCATTTTGTGAGTCAGAAGGACAAAACGTTATTGAAGAAATAGAAAAAAATCCAGAAAAAGGATTAATTATGACAAATGATAAATACAAAAAATATCGAATTGAACTTCCAATTGACAGAAATATTACTACTGGTTATTCTGTAGATGTTATTTCTCCTGCAACACAACACGATATTGAAAAAAATAAACCACAAAAATATGAATTATTTACAGAAACACCTCAAATATTTAATTCAATTACTTTACCATTTATTAATTCTATTCCACCATCAGAATTTCAATGGATTTATAACATTCTGAATGGTACAGCTGAACAAGACAATGTACTTATTAATGATAATGATTATGTTTCTCTACTTGATATGAAATGGGATCGTCAAAACCTTAATCAAGTTTATGGGTTAGTATTAGTAAGAGATCATTCAATTCATTCATTACGTGCTTTAAATCAAAATCATATACAATTATTAGAAAGAATAGAAAAAACAACAACGAAAGTGTTAACAAATAATTACGGATTAAAAGAAAATGAAATTATTACATTTGTCCATTACATTCCATCATTTTGGCATTTCCATATTCATTTTTGTACTATTCACTCTCCACTATTTCAGTCATTGAATTCAGTAATTGGTCGTGCCATTCCGTTGATTGACATCATTCAAAATCTAAAAATGAAAGGAAATTATTATCAAACAATTAATATTGGACTTCGGCTAAATACAGTTCATCCACTTTACAAACTATTTAAAAGTAACTGATTTATTTTATTTCCTATTTGAGCTAGATTTGTTTTAAAAGAGAAACAAAATAGAAGAGAAACCCTAAAAAAAGAATAATAAAGAATATCAACGAATATCTCTAAACAATTTATTTCAATAAAATTAAATCTTATTATTCATTTAATCATTCAAATGAACTTTGGTAACCAAAAGTTAACTTTGTTCCAAAATATTTTAACTGTCATTTTCTTCTTTTTCTTTGGAAGTTCGTATTTAATGTTCTACAATACTTTGTTGAATGTGGGAGATTTATTGGCTACTCATTTTACTTATGACTTGAGTTATATGTCAACATTTCCTTTGTTCTACAATTGGTTCAACTTTTTAATTGCTATTATTATGACATACCTTGCCAGTTCATTAAAAAGTTTCCCACATAACATTTTAACCCATACAAGTTTCATTCTACATATTCTTTTATTTGTTATTACACCATTTGCCCTTGTTTTTATTGAAGGAAATGCTGCAGGATTTTGGGTTATGATTTGTATTTCAACTTTCAATGGATTACCAACTCCAATCAATTCTTCTGTGTTTATGGGATTATCTGGAATGTTTAGTAACATCCATAGTGCAATTTATTTCATTGGTATGGCTGCTGGTGGATTAATTTCTTCTCTTCTTAGAATGTTGAGCAATGCCATTTTCAAAGGAAAACCTGATAATGATTATTTCCTTACTTTTTATATGAATGGTATTGTATTACTTATTAGCTATGCCATGTACATTTATATGTATTTCTGTATTCCTTTAACTAAAGAGCTTTATTCTCAAAGTAACCAAAAAGAAGAGTCTGTTACTCTTCTCAGTAGTGAAGGTGAATCTAAAAGTGGTATTAAAGGATTCTTCCGTGTATTCAAGAAAATGTTTATTAACCTCTTCTCCATTGGATTCATATTCTTTGTTACTCTTTCTATTTTCCCAGGATTCTTTACTGGAACATCTTATGATGAAAGTGCTATTAATCAGTCAACAACAGTTATGATTAATACATTTATATTTATGTTAGGTGATCTTCTTAGTCGATTTGCTGTTTATATACCAATTCCATGGAATAAATGGCCAATTCTTGGACTTTCACTTGTACGTGTTTTGTTTTATGTCCCTGTTTTCATTTATTATTACGAAGTATATAATAATCCATTTGTTATGTTTGCAATTATGTTATTATTCTCATTCTCCAATGGTTATGTATCTGCATGGGCTATCCAAATTGCTTATAAAGACGTTGATCCAAATGACATGAAAGTTGCTGGCAATTTGGTTATGGTAGCAATGAATGTTGGATTGTCAATTGGGGGAACTTTATTATTCATTATGAGTAGTACTTTACCAACAGCTGGTTCTAGTTCTTAAACTAAATTATTTTTTTCTTTCTAATCTTCCAAAAAAAATCTTATTTTGAAACACAAAAATGAAACTTCAAAGAAATAGTTAAACAAAATTTTCAAATTATTTCAGGAAATTAGGATGAATTTCAAACAAGAATATTTAAGGTTAATGAAATGACAGATCTTAATAACGTGTCAACACATAAACTGATTTATTAAAACCTTAGAATTTCTTAAAATATCATTTCATTTTTACAAATGGCTGCTAAGACTGTTAACTATAAAGAACTTGGACTTTGTAATCACAAGGAAATGTTTGAACATGCTATTAAAGGAGGATTTGCTGTTCCAGGTTTTAACTTCAATAACCTTGAACAAATGCAAGCTATTATTCAAGCATGTACTGAAGCTAAATCACCAGTTATTCTTCAAGTATCAAAAGGAGCACGTGAATATGCTAATGCTACTCTTTTGAGAAATCTTGCTAAAGGAGCAGTTGAATATTCAAAAGAAATTGATCCAGAACATAAAGGTATTCCAATTTCACTTAATCTTGATCATGGAGCTAATTTCCAAATTTGTAAAGAATGTGTAGATAATGGATTCTCTAATGTTATGATTGATGGATCAGCACTTCCATATGAAGAGAATGTTAAATTAACAAAACAAGTTGTTGAATATGCACATCAATTTGGAGTTACTGTTGAAGGAGAACTTGGAGTTCTTTCAGGAGTTGAAGATGACGTTGCAGCAGCTGAACATGTATTCACAGATCCAAAGGATGTTGAAGCATTTGTTAAAGACACAGGAGTAGATGCACTTGCTATTTCAATTGGAACATCACATGGAGCATACAAATTCAAACCAGGAATGCATCCAAGAATTAGACTTGATATTCTTCATGAAGTTGAAAAGAGAATTCCAGGATTCCCAATTGTCCTTCATGGATCATCATCAGTTCCACAAGAATGGGTTGCTGTTATTAATCAATATGGAGGAAAATTAGAATCAGCTATTGGTATTCCAGAAGATCAAATTAGAGAAGCTGTTAAGAGTGCAGTTTGTAAAGTTAATATTGATTCAGATGGTAGACTTGCTATGACAGGATCAATTAGAAGATATCTTGCAGAACATCCAAAGGACTTTGATCCAAGACAATATCTTGGACCAGCTAGACAAGCACTTAAAGAATTATATCTTCATAAGGTTTCAGACAAGGTTTTGAACTCAGCAGGAAAATCATGGTATTAAACTAATTTTAATAGCCATTTTTATTAGACATTTTAATATTTTTATTATTATTTTCAGAATTAATAAATTAAAAGAAGAAGATATTTTTTGTTTTGATTAATAATAACTTTACTAACCAATAACATATAACTGAAATTATTAATGTAAATCAATATATTGCAAACACAACTTTTGAGATAGAAGAAAATAACTGTGTTTTTAATGATGAAGAAAACCTATACAATACAACATTTACAGTTCATAGAGGTTAACAACAAAACCTAAAAATAAAAAGTATATTAGTATTACTTGTTGACCAATAACAGGAAATGGTTGTGTTTCATGTTTGGCTACAGGCTCTACTATATGTAGATGAGGAAAGGAATATTTTAGGTTTTGGGTATTCCAAGTTTGAGAGTAATAATTTTGATTTACTCTATTTTGTTGATTAGAGAAATGATATAAGGAGTTGAAAGTTGTTGAAGTAGTTGTTGAGTCAGTAGAAATTGCATCTTATAAAAAATAACTAACAGGTTCAATTAAATATTTAAACTACTTAAATGCTAAGGCTATATCTTGTTAAAGCATCAAATAAGATTTATATTAAAGAAGAAGGGTTAATTAGTTTGTAAGATAAGAAGTAAATAATGATAAAATAAAAGTAATAAAAGAAGTATAATAAAAATGGTATTTAATATTTATTCGTTGAATTAAGATTAATATTCTTGTTATTAATTATTTTATTTGTGTATATTTTGTTTAGATTAAATGTTTTATAATATATTTCATAATTTTATTTTTATTCTTTTTGATTTCTTTTATATTATCATATTTATTTCTTTTATCATTTTAATGATTTCTTTATTTAATATCATTTTATAGAGATTATTAATTCATTTTATCATCTCTTATTTTCTTTATTTCTTTATTTCTTTATTTCTTTATTCATATTTATTTTCATCAAATATACTCGATTAATATTGTTATTTATTTCAATAATCATAACAAATAATATATTAATTTTATTCTTTTTATTTATTACATATATATTTGATCTTTTATTATAATTTCAAATATTTTTAATATTATTTATTTATTTATTCATTCAATATCATCATGATTTCTTTATATTATAACATTATTTCATATTTGATTTCTTGTATTAATATTCATAAATTATATATAAAATAATAAAATATGAGAATATAAAGAAGAATTAATAATAAAATAAGATATTTTTATTCTTATTATTTATTATTTATTAGATGATATTTTATTATTTTATATTTGTTTATATTGTTTGTTTATATTTTATTATTATTTATTGTTGATTACTTATATCATTTAATTATTATATGTTGTATTGATATTTAACAATGTTAATATGAAATGAATAATAATGAATAAATATAAAATAAGAATAAAAAGATATAAGAATATAACATAAATAATAAAATAAGAAATATATAATAAATATAAAGATAAAAGAAGAAGAATAAAATAAATAAATATAAAATAAAATAAATAAAATAAAAAATAAATAAAAAAGAATAAAATAAATATTTTATTATATTTTTATTTATCTTTTATTCTTATTTCTTTTTATTATTTATTAAATTAACACAATGAATATGATTCTTTCAAATAAAATAAAAGAAGAATGAAATATGTCCATTTTTATATTTATCATTTCATTTATTGATAGATGAAATGTTCATATTCATTTATTGATTTTATTTCATATTCTTTTTTATTTTTATATTTCAAATAAATAATAATGAATAAAAATCATTTCATTTCAATTACAATAATTCGTTGTGGTGTGTAAAATTAAATTTTCAACAATGTGCATTTGATATTCCTTTATATTCAAATGATTGTTGTTTACAATATGATTTTGTTTTATTATTTTCTTTAAAAACACGAATATCATTTCTACATCCAAATGTAAAAACAATCACTTGATTGATTAGATAAATAAAATGCATATTGAGGATCTTTAATATCAAATTTCATCATTCCTTGTATTCTTCCTTTTGTTTCTAATGAAAATAAAAATGATTTTGGATCATTTATATCTTTATTTACTTTATCAATTTTCTCATTAATATATCCTCCAAATTTATTTCCATCTGAATCTTCAATAATAATTATTATATGTTCTTTATTTATTATTCTTTCTCCAAATACTGATGTATAAACACCCCAATCGTCAATATCTGAATCAAATAATATATTAGATACTCTTCTTGTTGTCCATTCTTCTAGTTGTTTAATTTGGTGTTTTGGTATTGATATTCCTCTCATTATTTGTAATCTACCTTCTTCTTCTTGTTTTTTTCTCTCTTTTTCTTTTTCTTCTTCTTTTCTCTTCTTCCTCTCAAAATAATCACTATAATGTATTTTCCATTCTTCTTTCTTTTTGTTAAATGATTCTGTGATTTTATCTTTTTCTTTTGGTTTTCTGAATATTTTATCTTTCTTGATCATTTCTTCAGTTAAAATGATTTTGTCTATTAGTTTATTCTTTGTTTTACTTAGTGTTTCTTCATCTTTATACATTCTTCTATATTTCTTCATTTGATCTTATATTTCTATTAATTAT